ACACACACACACACACACACACACACACACACAATAAATAAATAAATGTTAAAAAAAATTAAAAAAAAAAAAGAAAAGGTAAGTAAATATATGAATTCAATCCCAGGGCCTGCCATGCCGGCCCCGCACCCGGGGTGCACTGAGATTGCAATTGAGACTGGGCGTGGTAGAGCATGCCTGTAATCCCAGCTCTTGGGAGGCTGTAAACAGGTGGACCACTATGAGTCCGATCTAGTAGTGAGACCCTGAACACCCTGGAGACCCTTCCCCAAAATACAATAAATAAATAAATAAATGAAAAAAGTGTTCAACAACAGTGGTCATTCAAGAAATATAAATTCTGGGGCTGGGGAGATAGCTCAGTAGAATAAGCGCTGGCCTGGCAAACACAAGGGCCTGAGTTCAATCCCCGGTTCCAGAAAAAAAAAAAAAGAAATATAAATTCAAACAACACTGAGGAGCCAAGTATGGTGGCACACACCTATAATCCCATCACTCAGGAAGATGAGGCAGGAGTACGACTGGGAGTTGGAGACCAGCCAAGGCTACAAACCAGCCTAGGCTACAAAGTGAGCTCAAGGCCAGCCTGAACTGTACAGTGAAACCCTATATAAAAAAGACACGCAGCGAGCCAGGGATATAACTCAGTGGCATAAGCGCCTGCCTGGCAAGGGCAAGGTCCTGAGTTCTATCCCTGGTACTGCCAAAAAAAAAAAAGACATACAACAAAACTGAGATTCCATCTTCACCCTAGAAAGAATGGCCACCTGAGTTCAATTCCCAGTACCACACACACAAAAAAACAAAAACAAGTCAACCAATAAAAGGGGCTAGGGGGGCGCTCTTCTCCACTATTGGTGGGAGTGTAGACTGGTCAACCACCATGGAAATCAGTGTAGGATTCCTCAGAAAATTAGGATTAGATGTCGCATTGACCATGCTCATTTTTAAAAAAAATTTCACAGGTGTAACTTAAGTAATAATGAAGACCACTCCCACCTCCAGTATTATGTGAAGGCTGTGAAGTTGGAACAAGCAAATCCTGGGCGTCAAAGCTTTAATTTATTTACCTCATTTATTTTTATTTTTGTAGCCAGTCTCTGCTTTCCTATTTATGACCTCTGAAGTATTCCCAGGCCCTATCTTAAACCTTGGACAGTGCAGGAACAGCTGATGTTCAACATGTCTTTACTTCTTTTTGTAAAATCCCTTGTCCCCTCCGTCCATGTAGCGTGAGGCAGTAAGAGCCGCCCTCCGAGGAGGGAGCGCTTCCCCCTGCGCCGCCCGCCGGAGGCCCTTCTGAGCTGCAGGAGAGCGCAGTGACTGCCTGCGTGCAGCACGAAGCTGACACTGGTGCGAGAGCTCGGCAGTGGCTTCCTCACAGCTGAGCTAGGAAACCCCACGAATGACTGGTCTGCAGAGCGTGCCCTCCACGCCCTCGTGTGCCTGCTGGTGTCGTCTAGTGGAAAATAAACTGTAAATTCTTTGTTTTTTAGAGTTGCTGTTTTATGCAGCTCAGGGTGGCCTT